AAAGGGTTAAAGTAAATAAAGTAAGTAAATCTGTGTTGCCATCAGTGATTGTGCAGTTATTGGTGTTTTCAGTCTGCTGTGATGAGGGTGCCCTTCTCTGTTGCCGTGGTTACAGCATCAATGAGCTGATCAGAGGCTTCGATCCTCCGTCATGACTCAAAATGACCAAAATAGACTTGAAATCATTTAATGAACCAAAACTTTCAGCACAGGTAAAACGAGCCAACATTTCACAACAACAGATTCGTGCGTCTTTGCTCCCATCAGCCACCTGGAAACCATTACAACAACTATCATCATCACAAACTCGCCGCTGAAGTTTTGACTTCACAGGTCAAAGGTAATCTATGACATCATTCTAATAACAGCAGCACAAGCTCCGCCTGCAGTCAGACTGACGTCATCGCCGTGGTTAGGCACAGGCGGGGATGTTGATGCAGGGCTCTTTCTGGTCGTGCTGCTCGCCGTCGGGCAACGGGCCGCAGTTGACTTTTGGTGTCCCGTAAAATGAAGCTTTCTCCGTCGAACGAGGAGGGTACAGGCTGCAAACACAAACACACGTTGTAGTATTCGCAGAACGGCATCTGCAGTTTGACGCTAGTTTCACTGAAAAACCGTCGTACTTGGATTTATTTCACTTTCAACTGACGAGCTGAACCCGGAGAGCACGGCTGCAGATGAACCTGTATTTTATTTATTTATTTTATTTTATTCACAGTAAAGTGCAGAAAACAAATGTTGGATTTCAGAATCGTGCCTGTTTTTAATGCGCTGCTGCCTGACTGCAGATCACAGGTTAATGATCAGATTATCGGAGTCAGAAATGTACCTCAGATGAGACATTCAGTTTTTTGCAGAAACTTTTTTCTGGGATATTTTTCTGACATTAATATTTGTCATGAAATTTTAAAACGTCTCTGTTTTGATATTTGTTTTGTGTGTTCTGCTGTGAACATATTGTTTGGGTTTGGCTCTCATGTTTTCCTTCACACAGTGAAGTCCAAATGACCAAAGTGTGTAAACCTGCTTCTCCTGCCTCACCTGTTTTTAACAGCCGAGTGCATCGTGTGAACACTGAAGCGTGAAGTTAGTCTGACCAGCTCACGTGTACGTCAACCGCAGCGCAGCTACCATCCAGTGATGCTTTAGCTTTTTGTTATTGCTCATTTTTAAATCTGCGTTTTAACAACGACCTGTGCACAGGTGATGTTAGCCCAGGTAGCATCTATTACCTGACATCCGAGATGCCCTGGAGCTCACAGGTGGTTAAACTGTGGCTGCGACTATGAAAAAGGCTTCAGACTTTAAGGTTCTCACTGTGATGTTAAAATCTTAGCTCCTGACTGGATTTTTAACTGCACGACAGATTTGATTCGGTTTGCTGTGTCTTTGTCTTCCAGTCTGTAAACTGACTTGTAGCCGGTGTAATCAGGTTTGCAGAGTCTCTTCCTGGACCGGACCGAGTTTTCGCCACAGGGTGGATCACAGAGGCTCCACGGTGTCCAGGCCTCCCAGCGGCCGTTCACTGTAACACAGAAATGTGATGAGGAAGCAGCAACCTCCAACAACTGCTGACCTGCAGTTCCTCTACTGGCCAGCAGAGGCTCCATTAGGCCACACCGGTCTCCCATGTTACACGAGGTGTAGCTCAGCCTTTCT